CCTACAACTCTGCGCCTGACCTCATCATTGCTCGTCCGGTTACTCCACCAGATTCGTGCAATGCTGCGTAGACAGCGGTGTTCAAACAACGACAGTCTATCTTTATCCTGTTTTCTGAATGGCTACGTTTCTGCGGCATATAGCAGAACTGACCGAACTACCGCAGCATACACTTGACCCTTCACGAACAGCGGGATATCGCGACGGCGCCACAGATGTCTCAAGTTGGCAAATGCCAATCAAGTCTTCTGTATGCGGGCTGACACTTCATCCGTGACGCATCCACGGGTGAGATGTAGCTGCCCAGATAACAACACTTATCCACCTGCTCTATCATTTCCACAGTTACAGTGAGACTGGATGCTGGACCAACCCAGTATCGAAGTAACATTTTACACTCTGAAGGTGCAAAAAACGCAAATCGGACATGGCTACACTAGCACTCGAACTATCCAAGAAAAGCTTGCAACTTACCTGGATCTTCACTTAGTAGCAAAATGTCGTCTGCATACTGTAGATCAGACAGCCTGCTACTTGGGAGCAACTCGATGCCACTATTCTCGCACGAGGATAGGGCTTTTCCCATAATCAGATCTGTAACAAAGTTGAATAGGAAAGGAGAGAGAAGGTGGCTCTGACAAACACCACTTTGTGTAGTAGTGGTCGGCTGAATCGAAAGCCGCTTTGAGGTTCAGGAAGACAGAGGTGGTGGGTATACGAAAGGAATGTCGGCGCTCCAGAGTGTGGCGCAGAGTGAAGCTGTGGTCGATACAACCTCGACCAGGTCTAAAATTAGCTTGGTTCTCACACGTGCACCGTTCACGTGCGGCAGTGAGAAGTTTACGGACGATGTTGATTAAACTAATTCCTCTGTGGTTTTCACAAGAGGATCTATCACCTTTCTTGTAAATCGGTATGCTGACCGATTCACACCATTCAGTTGGAACCTGTTTCCTCGCCCACGCAGTCCAGGAGTTTCGTTAACTGCGAAACCAATGTTAAACATCCATCCTTAAAAACGGATAGAAAGAGCCCGTCGGCGGGAGGTCCTAAGCCTTTTCAGATAGCTTATTTCCCGGGAGACCTCCATTTCAGATTGAGGACTGGTATCAACTAGTAGTATTCGCTCAATCAAGATGGAGGGTGAAAAGACAGATGTCAAACGGGGCCAGTTGAACTGATTCTTGAAATGTTCAGTCGAACGATCAAGATATATATATATATATATATATAAACACCAATATTCACAGATACGGCGCCAAAAATGATCATGGGTGAACGAAAAAATATAGGTACAAAAACGGGGATAATAAAACAGTCAGCTTCGAGGGGTAACAATTTTTCGTTTGTTTACTGCACGCCATTTTGAGGCACTTTCCTTTTTGTTTATTTTTAGGACTGTAGACCGGAGGTGATGCATTCGCACCACTGACTTCGGTTCGATGCCATATCCCGCAGTGTCTTCAGTCAAAGATGATCTAGATCTTTGGGGCCTCAGCCGGGGAGTCGAGAAACGTCAACGGAAGCCAGATCCGGGCACAATCTCTTTAACCTTCTGCGCCACTTCATAGTCTGTCCATCTCGTTGTTTCTGCCAGCCTGGATCGACGTCTGCGAGTAGTGCACGGTGTGGCAGACGGTGCTCAGGCATTCGTAGGACGTGCCTTAGCCACCTAAGACGATGCTGTGAAATTATTTTGCCCAAAGGAAGACCATCTGGTCTCAGCACCCGTCGTCTGGTTTCATCATTATTCACGCGATGCTCCCACCATACGCGGACGATGTTGCGCAGACAGCGGTTGTCGAAGACTGATAGCTGCTGGACGTGATCTGCTCGGAAAGGCCAGGTGTCGGAGCCATAGAGCAACATGGTGCTTACCGTTGCGCAATACACGCCCTTTCAGTGAAAGGGATATCTCGCGCCGGCGCCAGGTGCCGCAGATTAGCGAACGTTAATCTAGCCTTGCTCACGCGTTGAGAGATCTCCTCGCCCACACCTCCGGTAGCTGTTATGCAACTCCCAAGGTAGACAAAGCTTTTGACTACTTCCAGAGTGTCATTATCCAATGAAAGTGGGTTCCTGCCAATCTTGCAACAACACTGCACTTTGAAGGTGCAAATGACATACCATTACGAGTAACCTCAATTGCCAAACGGCTCAACGACTCCTGAATCGTTGGTACGTTGTCACCCAGTAAGGCAATATCATCGGTGTACTCAAAGTCTACAACTCTGTCCCCAGGAAGAAGCTCGACGCCAGCGTTCGCTGCGTTATGTAACGCGTTTTGTAGGACATCATCTATGGCAAAGTTGAAGAGAAACGGAGAGATAG